CCAGAATCTAATCTCATTATGTGAAATATTTAACTTGTGTATAATGCAAAAAAGAGTAGCTACAAATGTATGCCAGAGCTTAAACTTCATGGATGCACGAAGGGCAATTGTTTTATAGATGCCCAATAAATTTGCTTTTCCATTTTCCATTCATGATGTGAAAGCAGTTTAATCAATTTGAGGCTTAAAAATGGTTGCCGTCTCAATCCCAAAGTCCTGTATAGTCAGAGAAAGTTAAACATGCATATACATGTATTTATACAAAATTTATGATTCTGTATTAAAGGGAATATTCACAATAATATACCGATATATAAAAAAAATATTTATATTTGTGCTCATAAACATCAGTCAATTTCAGTCAAAAGGAAAATTCAGTTTTCTTGAAAAATCAAAGCACCATTTTAATGCCACTTTCAAAATAAAAACGAAAAGGCACATACCCACATTGATTTAAAGGCCCAATTCACTTGCCCTGGGCAAGTGTGAATTGGAGGTGTGGCTATTCTAATGCATGGTCTTAATCACTTGCATAGCCTATGACGCATCCTGTTTCAGCAGTCCAATATCACGTGACTTTGATTGACAGTAGTAATTATTCAAGATTAGTCGCGCATCCCTTTCCCCGGTTCATGTTTTTACTTTTATCCGCCAAAATCTCAGCTCGTACACTATTTATTGTCATAAATACTACACACAGTCACTGCTGTGATATTCATAGTCACATGCATCCACTTTGGCACGACATAATAGACATGTAAGTTCGAGAAAACGCGTTTTTACTGGAGCTTGGCTGGAGCTGTTTACTACAGCGTGACAAGCAAGGAAATAATCCCTATTGTTTAGGAGCGTATTTAAAGTATACCTGGGCCTTTAAGTAAACTAGTTGAATATAGCCCAACATATTTCATGTGTATCCACAGTCTGCGATGACCTCTGAAACCACGTCGTATATATACTCGGAAAATCGTCAGTTCCAGAGTCCGACACACACCGGAACTGAATATGAATTGATGAATAATCAAATCGGTCCTTCTGAAAGATCCAACTCATCAATTCAGTTTGTTAAAAACATTGACAATGTGGAAGGATTCATCGATGATGATGAAATTATGAAAAGATCGTCCATCCCAAGCAGAACATCAAGTAAACTCACGCAAGATGGACAGTTGGACGTACTAGACACCGTGATGAAGGAACCTGATGACGCACCAGTGAGAGTTAAGAAACAAAAGAGGAAGAAGAAAACTAGGCGACAAAAGGAAATGGGAGCGGGTGATGCGTCAACATCTCGTGTATCGACAGACGATGAAGAAGAGATGGTGACGATCAAACCCAAATCTATTCTTAAAAGACCGCTGTCCCGAGGGGAAGCTGACGGAAGGGAAGATGATGCAAAAAGTGAAGGTATGTAAGCAGTACAGTAATGTCTCTATTACCGCTTACATAAATTATCGAGGTGGTCAAAATAAGGTATATTATAATGATTCAATTGGAGATGAAAATATAGATACCATATTTGTTCTATTAGTAATTCATGTGCTTTTCCTAAATGACAGAGGTATATGTATGGTCAAAATAAGTAGTATTTTAATGATCTAGCATACAATTACAATTGCATGTGACATGCCCCATAACATTCAGTCTGATGAAGTGAGCTTCATATAGTCAGTATGATTTCTAGGAGTTGTAGGCAAGCATTGTATCTTGTCTGCAAAATGGCTGCCATCTTTTCCATGATAACATCGCATTTTGCTTACTTTACAAAGAAGAAATGAAATATTTGGTAAATGTGCGCTTATATTTGATATGTACTTCTAATAGACCAAATATGATATTTAGGTTTTTTATCATCAATTCACCATTGTCCATAGTCATTTGTTATCATTTATTGGTGTTTTCTGCTTCTTACATTAACCATACTTCTAGTCGGGTGGTACAGTGTTAAAGGGATTCTTCTTTCTTTTTCAGATTTGTTCATGTTAGAACAAATTCTGTCTCAGTGATTACCCGTCTTGATCATTTTCAAAGTCAACTACTGTAGAATACTTTATTTTCGCTGAAATTAATTTTCGTTGAAAAGACTTTTTGGGTGTTTTGTATGTAATTCATTTTCACTGATTTTTGAAAAGTTGAATGTAAAATATAGGAAAAAAAGATATATTCGCTGGATTTTAATTTCACTGAATCATTCCTTCAGTGAAAATAGCGAAATTTAATTCCAAACGAAAATAAAGTATTTTACATTATCTAGGTGCCGTGATTGTTAAATTTAAGAAATTTCATCAAATATCATCAGTTGAATCTGTAAGAGCTACTTAGGTCATATTTCATATTACAATAATTTGTTAGTGTCTTTCAGTTAATCCCCATTGTGCAATCATTTCCAAAAAAAGTTTGATAAGTTGATAACACTAACAATAATTTACACATAATAATAGACAGCAGAAGTGTGAGAGTATGTGACAAGCTACCACACGAGGGCGGTATTACTGATAAACTCCCGATCTACAAAAGAGATCTGACAGAGGTCTCAGTGTATCCTGCTAACTCGGTGACAACAACGGATGAAGAATTTTCTGATATTAGTCAGACTGATGTTCTGACTGACTCACAGCCAGAGGAAGATGAAAACTCAGAGGTAAGAAGTTTGATATAATCCTCCAAGGATTGTTCATTATTCATGGTGGTACTGCCACAGTGCTTTGTTCTACTTTGTTTTTTTACCACAGTCATTGTCCTATCTACAGTGTCATCCCCACTGTGCCATTGCTGACGTTTTCTGCACTGAAAACAACTGATTATAAGTAGTGACTCTTGTGACTATACTAGTGTAGCTCAAACCAAGAATCTTGAGAGATCTCCAAGATTTTAGTATTTCATTTATTTAGTTCTATCAGTCTAGATTGGTGTTTATTGTGTTTTATTTTTAACTTTAGGATAAATCTAAAAGTGAAGCAGGAATCTTTATGACAGAATCTGAGAGAGAATCTCGACAAGTTGTCCTCAAATCCCCTGAACAAGGTAATGTACTGTATTCAAGAAGGGTGCACTTGTCTAGTTATAATTAAGCCAAATGCTCAGTCTGTAAAATGAGATTTTTCCAAGAAGGAAGATATACTATAACATACTGGGATTACATCCTTGTGTGTAATGATCTAACCAGAAATATTGTTTATGAAGACCACATTAGGCTTTTGCATATCTGTAGTCAAATTATATTTGAATATTAATTAGCTAATTAGCATAATAATTAAGCAGTTTTTGTTTTATGAAAATCAATTACTTGGTCATGAAAATATGTATTGGCAAATGCATAATATACTGAGTTTTGTAATTAGTGTTATTGATTGACCTGTTTTCATTTACAGATGGAAGTAAAACAGCTGAGAGTAAAGAGGAAACTCCAAAAAGTAGAGCTGAGAGTTACTGGGAATCAGACCATCACCAGTTTGAATTTAATGAAAATATGAATGCTATTTTAGAATTAGACCCACTGTCATATCATGCTATGGGTTTGGCTGTACCGTCTACGTTTACTGTTAGTCGTAA